CTGTATAACATTGTAAAGGATTACTATAATCAAAACTATAATTTTTAATTAAATTATCTATTAAATTTGGATATTTTGACCAATCTACCAATTTTAAGTTTATGTTATTTGATACAGCTGTTTCTTGAAAATTTTGATTATTGACCGTAATTTTTGTCTTTACAGGAAAATGATAGCTGCCTAGAAAATCATCATCACATACTTGCCACTCACAAGACAGAGCCAGTGAAGATGAAACAAGTGTTAAGTCTAATGCGTTCTACCTCCATCTATGAGATCCTACTGTAGTCATCTGACCATCATTCAAGATTACAAGATTGTTGTCATCTATACTTGCAAGAACGTCCCTACCTCGTGAATCTAATTCAGTACATCCCCATAACGTGTGATGGGCGTTGAAATCACCAGCTATAAAGACTGGCTGTGGCAAACTTTGGATTAAATTATCTAATTTGGATTTATTATAATTAATTGGTGAATTAGGGGGACAGTAAACACTAACCAAAGTTAATAATTTATCATTGTATTGTATTTGTACAGCTATATTTTGTAATGAGTCATCAGAGAATGTATTGATAACAAGAAATCCAATTTTTTTATGTAGAAGTATTGCTACTCCATTATGATCGTTACCTGAATCTAATCGTATAATATTATAACCTTTTACTCTAAAATTGTGTCTAGGTTTAAGCCAAGTTTCACATATGAGAGCAACATCTATGGTGTTCTCATATAAAAATTGTGTAAATTGAAAGCAATTTTCAATTAAACTCTATGTCACTGCTTTTTGACAGTTTGACAGCAGATCTACAACAAAACATGGCGCTTAACATGGCGGAGCAGTCACGCATAGATGAGCTAATGACGTCACACGAAAGTATTACTAAAATAAGCACTTTACAAACTGTAGTTGTCTCTCTTTTCTATTACAGCTACTGCTTTCTTAAAAAGAGACAAAACTGTTTTTGTCAAGTGTGTGTCGATATTATAGATATTTGTATAACTATTTCTATAGTGGAATATGCCATCTGCATAGGTATATATCTCTATGTTTTTGTAGAGATACATATTATCGATAATATCCACAAACTAATAAGATGTTGCTAGCGTATTCTCTATGCTAGTAATTACTCTGAGGACTAATAGAGCTAACTTGCTACCGTCGGTAGAGGATTAAGTCTATGCTTGCTACATATTTATGGTTAGAGCGGTTGAGTAGTGATGAGCCATGATTGACGCCTATGAGTTATTGAACTTATGTTAAAACCGATTCCTACCAAGGATGATACGCAAGGCTATTGAAATTAAAAAACATCCTAATTTCAATAGAGAAGATGGATGGGTGCTGCCATCTGCTTGGGATCCTATAATTAACATAATTAAATCTAAACCCAAGCATACCACTGCAAGACTTCAAGATACTGTAAGTTCATTCTGCGTAAATCGAACCAAAAATTAATATTAAAAAACTGTAGGTAGCCGGGCTAACTGTGACATCGGGACGTCACATTAAATATCTCAGTCTCTCTCCATATACAATTTACTCTGTGGTCTCTCCCGTGACCATTGGTTGCTGTAAAGCACCCGAAACGTCGGGAACTAAAATAGTAAATTAAACAATATAAAATCCGTAAAAAAATAGTTCTATTAAATTGTTAATTTATTTTAATATGATTGTAAATTGCTCAGATTCCTATAATTATTTTACAGGTAATAGATCATTGATGGCCAAAGCAATGAGCAATAACACATATATACATGTTTATACTAATCAATATACATATTGATTAAAATAAACGTTTACTTATTTTCCTGAATTTCTGAAAAGTACAATATTTTTGCATCTTTTTTTGGGAAAAATACTATATTTGATAATTGTTCAAAACATTGATATAAGGAAAATAGAGGGTAAGCAGTAAATTGCATATATATTTTTTGGTTATACAAATATCATGCAAACATGAACCTTGCCAACAAAAATATATCTGTCTCATTCTCACACATTATGATTTTCAAATGTAAAAAAAGATAAGTACATATCTTAGAGTTCAATTTTCTGTTGACAGTTTTCATAATTTCACTAAGGTCCACCTTGAAGCATGACGACATTTTAGGATGACGTTCATTTGTGGTAGTTCGTCTGTCATCTAAGCCTTGTTTGGAGTTATTTTGCAGTGTTACAGTTAATTTTGACTATTTTGGAGCTTTTTTGTTCATTAGTAAAGGGTATTTGAGCAAAAACAACATGACAAAGTGTTGCATCAATGGATGTAATTCAAATTCTCGTAAAAATGAAGAAGGATTGTCATTTTTCAGATTAGTTGTAACTTTTTTCCATAATTGTATATTTTTTCGTGTGAATTGCGTTTCGTGTTCATGTTATGGGTTCTAAATCGTGTTTCCCGCTATTATCTAGAATTTCCAATGACTATTAACATGTAAATTTAAACAAGTAAACATTTTGATTGTTTACATTTTTACATAGTGTTGTCCTTACGTGCTGTCATGTTTTGAAATTATCGATATAAATTTTAACAATAATATTAATGTAGTTCTATGTTCAAATAACGTTTTAGATACGTAAACTGTATATTTAATCAAACGATCGATTGAGAGCCTTTCATTTAAGAAAAGAACTTGAAAATAGTGTAAATCGTAAATTTTCTATAATAGTTTTTTTTCATCAAAAGATTTGATGATGTTAAGATTATTTTTGATTAGTACTTAAGGATGCATAATATTTATTTTAGGTTTCCAAAAAATGAAGGCTTTCAAAAATTGTGGATTGATAATATAGGCCAGGAAAACATAAAACCTGCAGTAGTAAGAAGAATGCTGGATGTAGTTCAGCTTAAGGGTGATTTGGTTCATGTGTCTAAAATAAATTTTCTGACTAAATAATATTATTTCGTCACGAATAAATGATTTTAATCAGTATACATTATTGTTATTTTATTTATTTAATTCTTACTCTCTCGTTTACCTCCAGTATCCACCACTAATTACGCTACTGGTGGAAGTCATTACAACTTGCAGCTTGTAAACACTATAAAATTAATATTTTGTGGTGTTACACAAATGGGATATAATGAGAAATGAGTATGGAAGTGGAAGTCTGAAGTGGCGCAGCCACTCCTATTGATCGAAATGTTGCATGGAAATCGGTTGTCATATGGTATGAACATGGGATGCTGAAGATTGAGGAACACGTTAGGATAGTTAAATGATTAATGAATTGTGTGAACGGTGGTATGGTTAGAAAGGGGCTGCTCAACTCGATTATATTACTGAGATAAATAAATAAATAATATTTATTATAAAAAAAAGAGAGATGACTCTTTTTTTTGAACTATGTATGAAATAACACATGCTCCACAAACTTTAAATAAATCAAGATAAAGGTCAGTCTACTGTACGTTCATGGTGACTTGAACTGGTAACCGACCATTACCACGAAAGAAAGGTGTTGTCGAATCTTTATGGCGGCTTGGAAGTTAAGAGCGAGCGCTAGTCCGTGCAGATATAGTTGAAAGAAAATTTGATGGTGTCTCAGATCACAGTACGTAAAGCGAAGCGTGAAGGTACAGGACTTGCGCTCGCAACTAACTTCCCAGCCGCTATAAAGTCTATATATATATATATATATATGATATAATTCACGCAACCTCGACGCATACCGTTGGGGCTGGTTCGATGTGGTGCAGGACAAAACCACTGGGAAAAACTTAGGGGAGACTTCTGCCTAGTAGTGGGACAGCATGGGCTGGACAAAAAATCATACGAAGCCTAATACATTGCCTATAGTGGTTTCGTTAATCTCTGCAGAGGAGAAAAAAATGCATGCGTCGAACCAGGGACGCACGGATGGAGTGCTTATGTGCAGATTGCCGTCGTTACGAAAAAAACGTTAGCTCGTTGCACGAACTCAATATAATATTCTGGTGCACGTCGTATACGTGTTCTGAAAAGAAAGGAGTTAAAGCTCCAATCAAGTGTTCTTTCCTTGGTCTCTTCGCTCACTTTTGACAGTTGCTTCACCATATCTTAAAGCAATTACAGTTTCAAAACTTTCCTATTCTGAGTTGAACGTAAGATTTATTTATTTATCATCTCAATACAACTATTATTACAGGATTAACCCAATGCAATAGTGTAGTGATCTAATATTTGTTTATTTAATATATACCTTTGAGATGCACAATACGTTATAGTTTATATAGCATCGATACTGAAAATATCGACAAAAACAACGCTATTTCTTGTGGGTGGAGTCGTCGCCATATTTGAGAAACACTTGACTTCAGATCACGTGAACACATGCCATATCCCCTATTTTTCTTATATCAATGGTTCAAAAGAAAGGTGGCAACCCTAGCTGTCACCCGCGCCATGCTATCCACAAATTATAAAGTTGTATGTACAAGAATGCTATCCCAAAGTACGGATTTGACATTGAGTGAAAAAAATCGATTATTAAAAAAACGATTTTTTGCTTTGTGATATTAATCGATTATGGAAAAAACGATTTTTATTAAAAAAATAATCAATTTTTGGGAAAAAAAATCTTTTATTCGAAAAAATGCCTGCTTTCCTATATATTAATAAAACTATGAGAATATAGTATTAACAATTTATCAGCATAAAAATCAAATAAAATGATAAGTATAAAACATCGAAACGACAATCTTCTGGTTTTAAAACTAAACTACAGAACAATTTTTTTAACCCATTACTTTAAACAATAAAAAACTAAAAATAATTACTGCCACAAATGTTCAGTGTCATTTAACAATTTATTAGTACCAAAATAAAAAGATACGATAAATGAAACTAATTTTTACAGATTTTATAGAGAGATTAAATAGAAAAATAATTTATGTAATCGAATTTTATTATAAAAAAATCGACTCTGATAAATCGATTATAAGAAAAAAATAATCGATTAATATGAAAATCGATTATTTTTTCACATCCCTATCCCAAAGCCCAAAGAAAAAAATGTTTTTGAAGTTTGAATTTTGCTAATAAACAATTCATGAAATTCATATTTATTTTATTACAAGTAGCTTGCAACATATTTATTTATCAATGATTTCAAGTAGTATTTAAAATATAACTAACGTTGTTTACTCATTCTACGTACACTATTTTTTTACATCGTTTTTTTTTTGTCATTAGAACTTAGAAACTTCTTGTTTTTTATTTATGCGCGATGCCCGCTTCATATAAATGGTATAATAATGATTATTTCAATACTACTAAAAGACGAATTGAAACATCCATTTTGTATAATGAGTATGAATATTTACAGGACTTCATTAAGGAAAACGACTAAAAACAGTTGCGATTGCCCTAGTATAAATGTATCTACACATCCATTAAAAGTTGAGGTTGTAAGTATGGTAAGTAAAAAATCATGGAATTGTATAGAACCACTGCATTAATCTGTGCTATAATATATGTTAGCCTTTTATAATCCTTTGCTGGATATAGGCCTTTTCAAGATTGCTAGCTAAAGAATTCTGAACAGACACTCTGATGGCTATGTTGATCTCCATTCCTAGTCTCTGGGATTTGTTTGGTCGTTTTTAATTGATTGTACCTCCTAGTTGTGGCGAGTATCTTAATTAGCATGGTGAAACATAATGCATAATGCAGTGAGGTTGGCATTTAAAGTTGTTGCACCCCTGCTATTTTGCTATTAAAGTATTATTTTTGTCATTAATATTGTATAAAAATTATTTGTTTATAGAAAGAAAGTTCGAGTAAGAGCTTCATAGAAAATATAAATAAATGGAGTGCAGCTTTTGAAGAAGTAGATCCTCTAATGAAATTTGAACAAATAGAAGCAGAAGAGGTAATCTAATCAATGCTATATACATGATGTAATTGTATGTATTAATAAAGTAGTGAAGAGTGGAATTTGTATGTTAACATTTTGTTGTGGTTTTTTGTGTTGTATGTTATATGATTAACTGTGTGTGTAACTGTGGTGCCACCATGGTGGCAACAAAATATTAAAATATAAGAGTAAGCTTTAGTAAAATCACAATTATTTTGTGTGGAAAGAACACAATCTACCTTCAAATTTAGTAATAGTTCATTGCAAATTCTGTTAATGTGACAGTTTAATTACTTCATAATGGAGAAAACTGCATTACTGTGATACATTTTTTTCTTTAAAGTCAGTACAGAATGTAGGATTTCTAATATGGTAAAAGTAAAATATTTTTGCTTGGTCTTAAAATTCAAAATTACTATTATAGAAAAGTTGTTATAGTTAATTCACATATGTATCTTAAGTCTGTAGTCTGAAGTTATGGAGAATGATATGAACAAATTAAAGTAAACTATTTTTATTTCGTTTTGATGAAAACAAAGACAAATAAACTTATTGTGGAGTTATAGAGAACAAAAAACCACATACAATCTCTCTGGCTACAATTTTCTGTTTACATCTCTGTCCTGCGAGTCTCGTATACTGTCCCGTCTGCTGATATCTCTTGACAACTCGGTGTACCACAGGTTTTGATACTCCTACTGTTTGTGCCTTGTGTTTGTAAGTGTGCCCAGTTTCAATTAAAGTAACAGCCCTAACAGCTTGAGTGCGCTTTAGATTGACAGTTTATTTCCAGTTTATTTTAGTAAAAATTCACACCTAACAATAAACAAAGCAGTCACGGCAGAATTTTAAACAAAACCTGACTAAACTCAAATTTGAAAATTTTCCGCAGTATACACAACAGTTGTACGTGGTCGAGCCATGCTGCAGCTATATTTCTGGTTTAGTTGTAACACAAAGAGGTCGACTCGACCGGGGAAGGACCACGCTCACACAGAATATCAGCGTAAAATAGCAGCTTAATGCTGCTGTGTTTCGTATGGTGAGTGTAGAGAACTGGAGACCCTTTTTACTGGAATTAAGGCATTCCATCTTAGTCCTCACGGGTGACAACACATCTGTATTTTGATTTGTAATCGAGGATAAATTTAGATGTCTATGGACCACAGCAACCACTTACCCTCAGGTAGACTGTGTGCTCATTTGTCACCCTTAGGCTATAAAAAAAGTATGAAAGAACAATATTACACAATAATAAAATTGTAACAGGTGAAATTAAAAACTTTTTTTTTTGCGTTCCTCTAAATTTATCCATCAATGTAATTATTAGATACCAATTTTTTTGTGGGTGTGAGACCTACATGAAAGCTAAAGTAAAGTATAGCTCAAAATATATGATTTGAATATATAATATGAAATAATTATATTGAAAAATATATTTTTATTCTGTATTATCCATGGTTATAGTATAGTAGCTGTTATAATTTAATACATCAAATCTTACAATTTTTCAGATAAAATATATAATTATGTGTAATATACGAGGGTGCGTTTTTAAGTTTGCGGAATGGGTAGGTAGGTAATAAGTGGGGATGTCGTTGAATTATGTCCTAATTGAGCAACTCATTATTAGTATAAATACGGGGTTTTATTGTAATTTGATCATTAGTCTTTGAGTTATCGTCAACCAAACAAGTCAATCGGGAAGAAATTGTGAAATATGGAGAAAATCAAGTTCCGTGCCGTTATAAAGTTCCTTACCAAGCGCGGAAAATCAGTTCAGACTATACTGAAAGAGATGTCATCCATTTACGGAGATTCTTGTCCAAGTAAAACTATAGTTTACAAGTGGCATACCCTTTTTAAACAAGGCAGAGAGTCACTTGAAGACGACACACTTCCAGGAAGGCTGTTCGAGGTGACCACTTCGGAAATTATTAAAAAATTCGAAAAATTAATATTAGAAGATGCCCGCCTAAAGAAAAAACAGCTCGCAGAAATGGTTGGAGTATCGGGTACAACCATTTTCAAAATTCTTCATGACCATCTTGGCATGACTAAAGTCAGCGCAAGCGGCGGTGCCTAGAATGCTCACGCCGCCTCAAAAGCAACAGCGCGTCGAGTGTTCTCGTATATTTTTGGACCTCTGTATGGAAGACAAAGATGTAGTGTTGGCTCGAATTGTTCCTGGTGACGAAACTTGGGTTCACCATTATGAACCTGAGTCTAAACAGGACTCTATGCAGTGGCAAAAAAAAGGCACACCACCACCCAAGAAATTTAAGGTGGCACAATCGGCTGGGATAATCATGGAGACAGTCTTTGGGGACTCAGAAGGAATCCTATTGATTAATTATAAAGATAAAGGTGACTCCATAACCGGAAATTACTACGCTTCAATCCTAGAACAATTTCAGGAAGCCATAAAGGAGAAAAGATGGGGAAAATCGACCAAAGGAATCCTTCTTCTGCACGACAAAGCGCCTGTTCACGAGTGCCATGTTGCGATGGCTGCAATGCAGAAGGTAGGCTTCGAAATTTTACCACACCAAACTTATTTCCAAACTTAAAAAAAGAACTTAGTGGGAAAAAGTTTTTAAGTGATGAAGAAGTGAAGGAAGCAGTTTCGGCGTATTTTTTAGACAAAGACATATAATTTTTTTGAGGGTATCATAAGTTAATTGAAAGATCCGAAAAATGTATTAGGGTAGCAGGTGAATATATTGAAAAGGAGAAATAAATTTGGATTTTTATTTCCACTCCTTACCGCCCATTCCGCGTACTTAAAAACGCGCCCTCGTACTTAAACATAACGTTATAAATTAAAAATAATACACTGAATTATTTTGTAATATTTCATTAAAAAGTAAGTACCTATTCATTATGGATCAAAAACACTTAAGAAGGAATTAGAAGAACTTCAATTGAACGAAGTTTCGGCATACCTGAATACTATTATATAGTATATATTGCTTCCTAAAACTTCATTGCGCCAATATGGGCTACCACAACTTTTATTACCACCAGGGTAGCGCCACTTTGGAATGTGGTAAAATATTTGACAGATCTCATGGCGGGGAAGTTGAGTAGTTAAAAAATTATAAAGCTCCTTTCTGAAATATTAGTTACATTTTGTATAAATTAGATTAGAAAGAAAGTGATTATGTAAAATGCAACTTTTTTATTGTATAACTTATGTTAAATTTCATTTATGCCCCTACCAAAATTTAGAGTTAGAGGCTAAACAATCGTCGAGAATTATACAGATTAATTAATTGTACAAAGTACAGAAGGATCATTCCTTAAAAACATTGAAAAAAAAAACTCATGTCACGACCACAAATCATAGAGAGTGCAAAAGTAAAGCATATGTTTGTACTTTACTTTACATTTCTAGATGCGGCTGTAGTTAAAAAGTTTTGTGTTTGGTGGTCAGACTTCTCTTCGATGTCCGATTAATTGATCTAAAATTTGGTATACATAATATAAATTATGTAGTTTTGCTGCAGGCTTTTAACAATATGTTAAAATTGTCACAAAAATATAATTTTTGTTTAAACTGTTATATGCTGCCTACTGAATATTATTATAACAAACACTATTTGATATTATTATTTTTGTTTAAAAGAAGTTACAGCCTACATAAGTCCCGCTGCTGGGCACGGGCCTCTCATATCTGAGAGGGTTTTAGGACAAGGAAGTCCGCCGCGCTGCCCTAATACATGTTGGCGAACTTCACACATCTCCAAAATATTTTTTTCTTACTTCTCAGATATGCAGGTTCTCTCACGATGTTTTTCTTCACCGCCGAGCACAAGGTAAATTATTTTTGATTGAGTGTCGTCAAGGAAACAGGATAGATAGAAATGAAAACCAATAATAAATTATAAATTTCAAGATTTATGCAAGAAATTACTAGTATTAAGTAGTAATCTCACTCAATGGACCGGCCAATGTTCTTATTGTATGTTGTTGTTGGGGCTTTGAGTGCGCCTAGATAGACAGTACGCGGGCAATCCGGGTTCGATTCCCGCATGCACTAATGAGATTGTTACATACAATTTTCAGTGCTGATTGACCACGTGCTCGGCGGTGGCGGAAGACATCTTGAGGAAACCTGCATGTCTGAGAAATAAGATAGATTGGCAGATACACACACAGGAGCAATGAGACGGCTTAATTTCCATTTTACAACTAAGAGTTATGACATGGTTTTTTTATATAGGATAGGGTGACAAACGAGCATACAGTCCACCTGATGGTAAGTGGTTACTGTGACCCATAGACATCTACATTTATCCTCAATAAAGACTCAAGATGCAGATGCGTTGTCACCCGTGAGGACTAAGATGAAATGCATCTTTGCCCCAGTAAAAAGGGTCTCCGGTTCTCTACACTCACCATACGAAACACAGCAGCGTTAAGCTGCTATTTTACGCTGGTTCTGTGAGAGCGTGGTCCTTCCTCGGTCGAGCCGACCCATTCGTGCTACAACTATACTACTAATATAGCTGCAGTATGGCTCTACCACGTAAAAAAACCCAAAAACGGCTCGATTCATTGGCACTGCGAAGAGATGTTGCATCCCTTTGCATTTTCTTTCGCATCTACCATGGGGATGGAGTGCTCTGAGGAATTGTTCGGATTAATCTCAGCCGCCAAATTTCACGAATGCACATAGCGGCAGAACTCCCGATACCATCTACACCATCTAGATGATTGGCGGTCCACCACTGTGCGATTTAGAAGATGTTTTCTTCCTCGCACGACTTTCTTGTGGAATCGATTACCATCAGCGTTTTCCGGATCGATACGACTTAGGGACCTTCAAGAAAAGAGCCTACTCCTATTTAAAAGGCCGGCAACGCATCTGCAATTCCCTCCCTGGTGTTGCAGTTGTTCATGGGCGGCGGTAGTCACTAACCATCAGGTGAGCCGCATGCTCGTTTGCCGCCTCTCCTATAAAAAAAACCCCAAGGTAAAACCCAAGTAAAGCCTTTTCTCATCAAATTTCAGGAAATAAGTTCATTAGCAAAAATAGATATTCATACTAATTATTCTCAAGCATGGAGCAAGAGGCGAACATATATTTTAAATAAATACACTACTGGGGAAAAATTGACGATTGTAAGCAGTTTTCTTCCAGGTGGCGAAAAAGGTATGTATGATGATTTTGGTAAAAACCGTTTTTTTTTAAATTGCTCTGTCATTGTAAAGCTACGTGCGCACTAAATTAGTAATTCTGTATAAACCATCGCATACTATAGGCGAACGGATCGCTCTGACTGATTCTTTAAATTGGAAATTTTATATCACTGTTATATTTGAGATATTATTTACAACAAAACACTGGTACTTTGCTAACTCTTAGGTATGCTTCGTTCAACATGCTCGGACAACAGCCTGATTTACTATTTACCCTTTATATGAAAACCCTATTAATATTTAAAAACTATGTTGTTAATCAAAATACACACGTCTAACTTTAACATTTGTACTTTTCCGGTTCCGTAGTTAAACAATTATGAACGCTAAAGCTGAGAACAAATTATCGGACGCGTCCATCAGTCGCGGCTGATAGACGCGGCTTATTTGAATCTAGCCAGTACATTTAATACTACACTGTGCAAACTATCGGTCGTAAGACGCGAACGTGCCCTTGGGTCGTCCTTGAGCGTTCAGACGTCCGAACAGAATCTAGCCGGCTGGATATTTGTGCGTCCTCGGACGATGTGCACAGGCCACGGGACGCGTCCGCGGACGTTTCGAGCGTCACAAACGAACCAACCGCGCTCGCGACATGTCATACGAAGAAAATTTAATTGAATGTGTTCGTGGCCACATAAATGCTACTTTAAAACAGGAATTGTGGGAGCAAATTGCTGCTGAATTAAACAATTCTCAGTCAGACTAAGCAGAAAATTAAATTGGTTTTCATTAATTCTTAAGTACATTTTGTAACGTTTATCATCTTTTTGTAAGTCTGGATACAATGTATGAAATTCACCATACTCGAGTCTTTTTACATTAATATCATGGACCCAAACACTCCTTTTCACTTTTTTTGGAGGCATAAAGCAGCTGCCGCTAACTCTATAAATTCGTCCTCGCTGTCGCTGCTTGTCATGTTTCTCGATTGAAACACCTTTATAGAATTATTCTTATTATTCTTTTTTACAAAACGTTACCCCCACACTAGGATTTTCTCCTGTATCGTGGAGGCAGTTTACAAACACAAATTTCACAAGGACAAACATCCAGACCCGGAACAATCATTTGTAGGCCATACAAATACTTGTTCCGTGCGGGATTCGAACCCGCGCCCCTCAGCGCAGCAACTTATTGCTAAGCCACTGCGCCACGGAGCCGTCTGACTCGAATGACTGAAGTGAGGCGTCCGAAGACGCCGTCTTAACTACCGTGCACACCGCTAAGCCGCGACTGTCAGCCGCGGCTGACGGACGCTTCCTTATATATTACTATACTCTTTGGACGGACGCGTCCGATAATTTGTTCTCAGCTTTATAGTTTTGCAATGTCCGTTTGCCCGTCCGTCTGCGGTTTTACTCAGAACTACACAGAACTTGCTACAAAGCTATAATTTAGTATAGTGGAAGAAATTTCATAATGAGATAAGTAGCGCCCTTGTACAAACTGTTCATCATGTTGTGTTCTTTCCTTTGTTTGTGTGTACATAAATTTTTAAATAAATAAATAAATATAGTTATAGATATAATCACGCCTACAAAATTGTGAATCTTGAAAACATTTTTGTTTTGGGTATCTAACATACAAGTGATTTTTTTCCGTCTATTCCATCGTGTGGGATGGGGTGTCGTTGGATAGGTCTTTCAAAAATATTGGGGATGTATGATACGACATTTTTTCGATTCAGGGGTCCGTTTGCGAAATATTTAGCTTTAAAGTGGTATTTTTTATTCTAATAATCATGTTCCTTCCCCAACCTCTACCATTTTGATTTTTTTGAAGAAAACTACTCATGCATTACTACTATAGCTTTACGTTTTCCTTTTTGGGGTAGACAGAGAGGATAAATAGCCAAGAGGCCGATCCTGACATATCACTTTTGCTTATTTTTAGTTAGTATAGTTATTGTAGGCCTACAGTTTCATTTGTGGTACTCTTGGTTTACGCGGGCGACCCTTATGATAGTTTAGGGTAGTGGTGGTTTACTGGAAGGTTCGTTACGGTCATGTATCTTAGGATTGCATTATCGGGAACTAATGGATAGATAGGGAACTATGACAATTTATGTCCTTGCCATGTAATCAATATGATGTAGATTGTATTATTTTCAAATTACAAAAGGAAATTTGGAAAATAAGTCCTTCAGCTACCATCGTTCACTCCTATTTCGACAAATTTTTAGTCGTCACAGTGGTCAAACCGCGAACTTTCTTAATATGTAAAACTCATTGTATCAAGAAGGTCCCTTCTAAGTTCTCGTATTGTGACATCAACTACGGAACCCTAATTGTTGGTAGCCCGACACGTATTTTGCCGGGTTTTTTATTTAATATATGTACGTTTACAACTATTATTTTTAAAGCTTTTGCCTAAAAAACACTAGCATCTAATATTTTTCATTTTATTTTATTAAAATATATATTCGCAATTATAACATTGTGGCAACGTGAACTACTTACAATTATAATTTATACAAAAGTACCTAAATCTGGTCCGAGTTAGCTGCTCACAAGTGGCCTTTGCAAGCCCACTCCGGATGCGCATTTGTGGACTACGGGCAGGGGAGACCTGTTTACCTTAAAAAGAAGCTACGTTACATATAATTCGGAAATTCCAACATGACAAATAACCCAAAACATTCGGCGTTTTTAGTAATTACCTAACCTTAACCGTAACCGTACCTTGAAAATGAATAGGTCTCTGTGTGTCTGTTTTCGACCTGTCATCTTTTAGTCTAGTTTTTTTTTAATAGTATGGGAGTGACAGTCCACTTGATAGTAAGTGGATGCTGCGGCCCATAGTCATCTACATTTATCCTCGATTAAGAATCATAATGCAGATGCGTTGTCACCCCTGAGGAGCAAGATGGAATGCCTCATTTCCACTAAAAGGGTCTCCGGTTCTCTAAACTCACCATACGAAACAGCAGTGTTAAGCTGCTATTTTACGCTGGTATTCTTTGAGAGCGTTGTCCTTCCCCGGTCGAGCCGATCCATTCGTGCTAAAACCATAATATATCTGCAGCTTGGCTCTACCACATATAAAAGTTATAAATTCTTATAGCGAATATCTGTTACACTATAAATAAAAGCATGATGAAAATTCCAGGTTGACCCCTCAGTTGAAATACTCTCCCAAGAAAATAAAAAATTAGATTACCTATCAATTATTAAAAATAGTTCATAACATCGTAACTATATTAGATAGTTTTGATTTGATTAAAAATACTAATTGAATATTTTTTGTTTCGTTTTTTTTTCGTTTTAAGTTAAATCTTTTTCAGCTCTTATTAGGCAAGTATCGAATTTAAATGAAAAAGTAAAACATAGGTTGGAGCAATTGGATGATTTCGATGAAGATTCAATCAGGAAAACAATGGGTCTTAGCCAACAGGA